TAACCGCTTCCAACCCCTTCCCCCACCCCTTCCTAACAGGAGCCTACTAAGCTAACCCCTCTGATGAGCTGCTATGGGTGCTAGCCGGCGAAAAGCGCCCTTAAGGGCGTGCACCCCCCCTATGGTTGGGTTTTTTCAGAAAACCCTCTCCTAACCCCTTAACTCTAACAGCTCCGATCTGCTTACATCATGTTGTTGTGTGTCTGCTGTGTGTGACTAATATGGACTACAAGGCTTGGTCTAATGTCCCAAAGTTTCTTTGGGATGGCTGTGTTGATACACAACCCCCCCCCCCCCCCTCCCTCCACACACACACACACACAGCAGTTGAACGCCCTTGCGTTGGACCGATCCTCCCTGTCGTCGTCTGGCCATAGAGAAGGAATAAATAATGAGGAAGCCCAAGAAAGATGCCCCATGCCGCTTTGTGATGACCCGCCGGAGATTCAACTAGCATGTGGTTCGCATGCCTTGTGCCGTGAGGATTATGAAGGGATAGTCCATGCAAGTTTTTGCTTCCATACGTACGATGACAGTCAGTACTGTACTCATGTACGGCACCCCAACATGTCATGTCCAATTTGTAGACAGGGGCTGGAACGGCAATGCCTCTATAATTGCGGTCGACGTGCCTCTGTGTTCCTAGCATGTACGAGCCACGTAGCCTCTGACATCTGTCTGCGCCGTGCCATTCGATGCAGCAACTGTGACTGCGAAAATTGGATGCGGTGCTTCCATAGCCCACACTCGAACCAGTCCTATCCAGTCTGTAGGGGTGGCCACTTGCCATAGGCTTTGGTGCAACCCTGTGCCATGCTAGAGTAGTCTGTTTCAGAGGTGAATATTTAGAATTCTGCGAAGCTCGTCATACACATCTCCCCTGCCCTTTGCATGTCATACTCTATCCTGCCCTCCACATATTTCTTTCCTTCCTGTTGCCCCTACCTCCCCTGCCCCATACTCCTATAGAACTCCGCCTTCTATCCCTTACCCTCCACCCTCCCCTCCACTCCCTTTGTGCTACTAACAATTACATATGAATGAGCATCATTAAGAGAACAGACGATATGAAGATCAGAAATGAAAATAACGGAAGTATGAAGAGGAAGGACGGACACAAAGACTGTATAAACTGAAGATCTGAAGGGAAATGAACAGGAGTATGAAGCTCTGAAGAGAAATGCACAGGAGCATACCTTCCCTTTTACTCTCCCTCCTGAAATAACGTGCAAGTGGGCCATGAAGGCACACGGGGATGTGGGCAGCTGCCGCTCAACCACAATCAACGTGGGCAGCCTTGTGTGTAAGAGGCACAGTAAAAGGGGAGCTGCAAGAACAATGAAAGGGGTACCCCAAGGACAACCCAAAAACTCTCGAATTATAAAATTGCTTTAATATGTTGGACATCTCAAATGCTCTCGTTGTCTGCAATAGGACAAAGACTGCTTTGATTTTGAATCTATTCATCTGGGTTGAGTTGGGGCTGTTGTGGGGAAAATCTATAACACACACACACACACACACACACACACACACACACACACACACACACACACACACACACACACACAGAGGCCTCCCTATGCTAGCTGATGAAAATCTAATCAAGAAAACGGTATAACGAATTTATTGTGTCGCGTATTGTTTTTACTACTGGGTTGGCCCATCTCAAATGTGTTGCATTGCTTGTGTAAAGGTGAGATTCCTTGCTTGTTTAAAGGCAAGGTTCTGAATACATATTGACTTCACAAGCAAAACTGTTTCATTGGTGGATTGGCTCACCTTGAGAATGCTTCATTGTCTGCAATACAGGAGAAGTTGCTATGACTTTGGATCTACTCATCTGGGTGGAATAGGGGAAGTTGTGGTGATATTTTATAACACACACGCATCATCACACACACACACACACACACACACACACACACACGCACCCACGCACCCACACACAC